AGACCAAGACAAGGCCCCTGCTATGGTTACCATAGAAAATATTGTTTGAAACATTAGCAATTATCTGATTAATTTAATCGATAAATAAAACATGCAACAACAGTAGCAGTATCAATCTCATATTGATATCTAAACATGTGAGCATGTACTAAGTATAGAGCATGAACATCTATGAGAACAACAAGTATGCCTAGCACATGAACTAGCAAACGATGAATGACATATCATAACCTCCAATCGGAAAGGTCAAAGCCGACGTGACAGCAACATTACTTTCATCCTTCTTCTAGGCGTCATCAATCGTGGTGATGTCGAGGATGTCAAGGACGTAGTTGGAGTAGAGGACAAAGACGAATAATAGCGAGCAGTCACGTCGAAACGCTCCCAAAACACCTAATTGCGCTTCTCTTGGTGCAAGATCGCAAAAGGCGGGATACTGTAGGCATGCACTCCAGTATAGCCATGCACGCAGTCGACAGGATAGGACCGCCAGAAGCAACAACAACGATAGGAACAATAGTTGGTTGTGCATGAGGAGGCAGAGCAGATGCGTTCTGATCAGGTGACCATTAGGGTTGCCAACACCTTCAATATATAGTGGCTCGGATAGGGAGGTGTGAGGTGAGGCCTATGACCGAGTCAATAATATCTCATGATCGACAGTTCAGATATGGCTGTTACATAATTAATTATCTATTTCTAACCGGTAAAAATAAAGTGCACACATGACATAGGTGTGAGATTTGCTTGGTTCGTTCACGAAACACGACTGATGCGAGGCAAGGTGGACGACAGAGAAGGAGCGCGCATCTACCACTCTTCTTCTCAATCTCCAATAGCATGTGAAAAAAAAACCTTATATGTTGGTCTCAACTCTCCTCCAAATCCACGTGGTACTAAACTTCCCATCATGTCATGAAACTCCACATGGTCCTATGAGATTTACATGAATTCTTGTTTATATGGGCTTAATGCTCATCTTTAATTCAACAAATATCAGAGGTGAGGCTGATGCCCATCATGAGCCCCTCCTTTCCATACCCTAGTCGTCAGCAAGACTCCTATACGATGCCGCCTTGGTCCACCTCATCTCTTCTGTCCAGCGGTTCGTCGGCGGCCAGAGGAGTGGGGACTCAAGACCCGTTCTCTCATTTTTTTTTCTTAGTTCTTGTTTGCCTTAGATTTTCGTAGTCGAGTCAATAAGACTCCTCTATGCCACTGCCTCGGCTCACCTCCTCTCTCCTGTCCAGCGGTTTGGCGGCGGCCCGAGGAGTGGGGACTCACGAGTTTTTCTTAGTTCTTGTTCCAGGTTTTCATAGAGGAGTCAACAAGTCTCATCTACAATGCTACCTCAGTCTACCTCCTCTCCATCGTCCAATGGTTCATTCGACTAGAGGAGTGGGGACTCAAGACCCATCCTTTTTGTTTTTCTTAGTTCTTGTTTGCCTTAGATTTTCGTAGACGAGTCAATAAGACTCCTCTATGCCGCCACCTCGGTCCATCTCCTCTCTCCTGTCTAGCGATTCAGCGGCGGCCCAAGGAGTGGGGACTCATGAGCTTTTCTTAGTTCTTGTTCCAGGTTTTCATAGAGGAGTCAACAAGACTATTCTACAATGCTGTCTATGTCCACCTCCTCTCCACTGTCCATCCAATGGTTCATTCAACCATAGGAGTGGGGACTCAAGACCCGTCCCTCTTGTTTTTCTTAGTTTTTGTTTTCCTTATATGTTTGTTTCCACAGCGGTATCGATGAGGTGCTGGTGGCGATGGCGCATTGGAACAAGGTCTTTCCAACCACTCCTTACCTCGATGACGTCTAATCCAATGCCGACGAAGGGTCTGTGAGGGTATGCGTTCCCATATTTGTTGGATCTCTTGGGATCTTGGTGCATCGTGTCAATTGAGGGAAGCAGTTGGCTGGATCTTGGTACAGTGACTTCGACCTCCTCTTTTGAGTTGTTTTGCGGTATGCGGCATGGCCAAGGTTTCTCCAATCCTCTGGGCTGGCGGTGAAGGATTTCTCAAGCTCCGGCGGGCGACGTACAATCAAAGGAAGAAGATGGCCAATACGATTTTTGATGTATTTTTACTTTTTGCTGTCCTGGTGTCTTCTCATTATACTATCATCTACTGTTTGCCTTGATAATATTCAAGTATTAAAAGAAAAAGGAGACAGAAGACCCCTGCTATTCTAGGCACGTGCAACTGAAGCTCTTTGCCGAAGAGCTCATTCTACAACCAAAAGGAGAAGGGCACCCAGCAGCCAGCACCCTGGTTTTGAAGGTCAAATTAAGGGAAGTCGCACGTGCAACTGAAGTGTATGTATTTATGAGCTCCACGGAGAAACTGATCGTTTGCCCTAAACACAACATTTCCACCACCCAGTGGGTAGACTTGTGTACCCATATACAGATAATTGGATGTCCATGGTCTCTGTTTTACTACATGCATGCTTTATCTCCTGTTTACGTGTGCATCCGACACTTGAACAAAATCATACAAGCTTTACGTGTGTGTCTCGCGCAAAAAACGTACTACATCCGTAGATCTAATACGCATCTCAAATTACAGTATTACACCAACACAAAAATCTTCTGCTTTCAAGAGGTGGCCCTATACTTCTGGCTATGCAGTACCGAAGATGCTATGTATCTACGAGCTGGGCAATAGCTTGCCATTGTACATCTTGTCCAGCAGCTCTTTGGCGCCCGGTCGCCGCAGGAGTCCTTTGTTGTTGGGCACGCCGGTTCCGAGACAAATTGGGCACACCAGTTTCCCACGGCCTACATCGACAGGCAAGCACAGATCAGAGAAGCATGATCAACCGGGACCATACGGCTTATAAACGACATGTAAACAGACAAAGAAAATGTATTTAGAAAAACTTTTATGGCCGTTTGTTGTTTGAAATAGGAAAGGGCTGACTTGACTGAAATGCAATGCTGGGTGCTTTTGGCTATTCCACGAAGAAAACTACAAACGGCCGATGTACCAGAATAAATGAATCTAAAAACATATCTTAGATGCGGAGAACTACACTTGATTCATTTACCAGAATTACTGATTCTGAAAATGCAGAACACCAAATCACTAAAGCACGAGTAAAGCATACCATAGCAATTTGGGCATTCTGTGAATTCGTAAACATCTTTTGCTCTCTTTCGGTTGAGGGCCTTCCATTTTCCTGTGCCACCACACATGTCACCTGAATCCAAATGGTTGAAATATCATTCGAGGGAATACATTCTACAAGCTTGATGACAGAAGTACCGCTAAAGTAAAACATTTGTGTGCCTAATTGGCCACTAAGTCAGAAAATAAGATGAAATCGCTACTGCTGTTTTCTTGTCATACACAGTGACAGGTGAAGAGTCAATAAGTGATAAAACGGAAATCATAGGCAATGCAGGAACTAACAAGAAATTGTCGAGTAAGGCCTGACATGAGTATGGCCAGATGATTTTGATTTCTCTGAATTGATGGAGGTAAAACAGGTGGCTACCAGCTCAGCATGTTTTGCTTTTACTGAATGTATTTCTGAACGACATACTTCTAGTACTACTGTACTAGTAATTACAATCAACGAAATTGTTCTTCACAAGCACAATTCCTAATAACACACTGCTGAAGCTGGAAGTCTACTCACCAGACTAATCAAGGGTCAAGGCATGGAACTCAGGAAGACATAATAACATAGAAAGAGACCAAGGTGATGCAAAGCTCTTACATATTATAGCACCGCCGCCACCGCAATTTCTGCATACAGCTTTTTGAATGCCAGGCTTGTTCGTCATGTCCGCGGCAAATCCTTTTGGCGCATAAAACGTTGGGCCCGTTGCACTGATTAATGTTACAGCACAGAGGCAAGCTAGACATCTTCGCCTGGAGCTAATACTTTCTTCTTCCTATACGAGAAGGAGAATGTGCATCAGACATGAAAGCAAAACGAGCCTCACAAAGTTTGCTGCAGAGGAGTAACAAATAAATAAACATAAAAAACCACAAATTGTTCATGGCCCTTTTGGTTCTTCGGTCATTTTATTTTCCAAAATGGTACTGTTCACCATTTGGGTATCATACATCTGACATTTGCCGTAAACATTTCTCAAGGATTCTTTAATTGTATATAATTTGGAATCCTCTTTTCTGAGATAAAACCTGACTAACAGGATATACATAGAGCCTGACTGGAGCAGAATATTGGTTTCTCAAGATGTTGCAAGACCGTAAGGTTCTGACTGTCTACTACCACTCCAAATATGAGATGAAAGTCTCTCCATCTTTGCCTAATCCACCTTATGCTAGTTAGATGAATTTGTATGGCTGAAACAGAGACAACTCAAAGAAGAGTAATACACGGCCAACCTTGGAATCGCTGGGAGGCTCGCTTCTCGCGCAATCCTCCTCTGAATTGTTGGAGCAGCAACTGATCCGAGTTCGCACTGAAACACACATAAGAAAACATTCTCAGCACCTAATTCAGCAGAGATGTCTCTCCTAAAAAAACCATATCCCCCCTCCCCCCAAGCAACCTATGAACTACAACCAATTCTGCCTATCTGAAGAACAAACTAATATCGGAGCCACCCAATTTGCAGCCCCGAAATGAGCACTCCCCTCCCCTGCAGGGATAAAAGAACTCACCTCTGCCCGGCCAGTGGGCGCGGCCACTGACGGCGGGGAAGCTCGGGCGGGAGCGCAGCGGCCTCGCCGGCGCCGGCGAGGTGAGGAAGTGGCAGCTGACGCCCGCCATCGTCGCGGCTCTGCCTTCCGCTCGCTTCTGGTGGCGTTGTGAGGACCGGAGGAGAGCGGGTGGCTCAGCCGTATTGGAGATTGGGGCCGCGCCACATCGCTCGGTCGGTCCTTCTGTCCGGGCCCTACCCTGGCCCGTTCGGGTCCGGGCTCGGCCCAACCCTACACTATAATATCTGCCGCGACCGCACAGGAAGACCAGTGACGGCATCCACCCACCCATCCATAGCTCGCGGCGGCGGTTGACCATGTCGGCAGGGAGCGAGCGCTCGAACGCGGCCTACGCGACGCCGGCGGCGGTGCTGGCGGACTTCTCGCGCGGATCCGGCCCGTCCGTCTCCGGCGGGGCCGCCGGCAGCGTCAGCGGCAGCGGGACGAGCCAGGCGGAGGGCGGGGCGAGGAGGAAGCCCTCCTTCCGCCTCGCGGCGGACGACACCAAGCCCATCCTCCGCGACCCGGTCCGTCTGCCCGTCCTCCGCACGCATGGATTTATTTGTCGCTGAATCGTTCCTGGTAGTGGCGGTGCTCAACTGATTGGGTGCTGCTCTTGGTGGTGTGCAGATCTCGCGGTCCGACCCCGTGGAGACCGAGCAGGCCGTGCTGCGCCTGCCGCCCTTCCCCTGACGCCTTGATGATGACGGTACGCTGCCCTGCCCCTCTGTACGGTGTACGCGGCATCTTGTGATTCTCTCTGTGCTACACCTGCGCTTCAGTGTTTGTGTGTGAACTAGTGACTGTTAAGTCATGAGTGATCAGGGTTGTGTGGGCAGAATAATCATGTGTCCAACAATTAGGCATGCTTCGCTCGTTGTAGGTCTCCTCTCTGCTTTTAGATTTTTGGTCAAGCATGTCAACTAAGAAAAATAGGAGTACATTTTGTGCCTCTGCCTTCTGATTTCGTACAGACTACAGACCGCTCAAGTGTTGGCTCGACTTGCTTAGCGTTGATGCAATTTATTACAGTAGAAAATGGAACCGACAGCATCATCATTTTGTTTGTAAGTTGTAACCGCCGTGTGTAATGTTGGCTTGTGACCGTCTCACGAGTTCTTATTAATAGCTCGCATACAACTGGCCGCGCTACAAGTTTATTGCTCGGGAATCAACATACTTAGATATAGGATGTATGGTGGAAGAGCGGAATTAAAATTCATTGGCTGCATACGCACCTACGTAGATACAGTATGAAACTATAACAGGCTAAAGGGATCTGATATGGGGTTTATCGATGGTACACAAAGTTGTCAGGTGAGTTCACTTTATTTCAGACAAATTAAAAACTGAATATATTGGTACATCAAGTTGTCGAACAAGTTCATCACTAGTCCAAAACAGTCCATTGTGGCAGAGTTTGCTAATCTGGCTTGATTAGTCAGCTCACAGGGTCTAATGTTTTGGAACCACTTTGCTGTGTTGTCGAATATGACGATCATGCGGAAGGTATGTCTTTTGGTATTGTGCCTTGGGCTAGGCTGACTCATGCTTTCTTTGCCAATTTTACATAAATAGGCACGGACCACAAGCTAGGCGCATGTGTAACTAGTGTGGTATATGGACTTGACCCATCTAGCCCAAACCAATTATATCTTATTAGCCGAGTGAAGTGGGAGGAGATGCCTGCAACCATGAATCATACACAGAAGTCCTCCATGGTGCCTCTGCTAGATGACGACCACTCTGCCCTGAAGTCCAGCTGCGTCACAGTGACGGCTCTGTATTTTAGGAACCCAGTGGTAGTGAACTAGTGGCTACTGACATCATGAGTGATCAGGGTTGTGTGGGATGTGTCCAACAATTAGACATGCTCTCTGCTTTCAGATTCTTGGTCAAGCATGCCAACTAAGAAACAGCATATGTTGCCTCTCCCTTCTGATTTTGTACAGACCGCAGACCACTGAATTGTTTGCTCGACTGCCGTAGCTTTGGTGCATTTGATTGCAGAAGAAAATTGAACAAACAACAGCATCATTGTGCTTCTAAGTTGTAATTGCCATGTGTGTGTACTGTAAGTCTTGCTGATCAGTGTTGGCGTACTGTGACCATCTCGCAATTTTTTTATTAAGATTGAAATTATTTGCATACAACTGGCCGTGTTAAAAAATTATTGTGAGGGAATCAACATACTTGCGTATATTATTATATAAATATGATGGAAGAGTGGAAAGGAAATTGATTGGCATTTGCACCTATCTAGGTCTAGAACTAGAACATGCTAATGGGGTCTGATATGGGGTTCGTCAATGGTACGTACACGAAGTTGTCAGGTGGGTTCATTTTATTTTATACGAGCTGAAAACTGAATATATTGGTATATCAAGTTGGCGGACAAGTTCATCACTAGTCCAAGACAGTCCGTTCAGGCAGAATTTGCCAATCTGGCTCGATTAGGCAGCTCATAGGGTCTAATGTTTTGGAACCTCTTTGCTGTGGTGTCGAATGTGACGATCATGTGGATAGTATGTCTTTTGGCATTGCGCTTTGGGTTGTGCTGACTCATGCTTTCGTTGCCATTTTACCAAAAAAGGCATGATCCACAAGGTTCATGTGTAACTAGTGTGGTATATGGGCTTGGCCCATCTAGCACTAACCAATGATATCTTATTAGCCGAGTGAACTGAGAGGAGTCGATTGGAACCATTAATCAGACATGAAAGTCCTCCATGGTTCCTCCGCTAGATGACGCCCTCTCAGGCTGGGCATTCGGTTAGACCGAACCGATTTGTCTGGTTCCTTGGTTTACTTTGGCATTCCGTTTCTAGATTTTAGTGGCTGATCAGTATTCTGAGAAACCAACAATTGAGATTTTGGTCCATCAAGAATTCGGTTCAGTCATCTTAGCCGAAGAGAACCGAGATTGGCAGAGTTGAAGAAATCACAAGTCAAATCTGTAGCAAGAAACGACGAACAGAAATCAATTAAAACCGTAGAAGGAATGGTAGAAGGATGTGCTGCAGGATATCGTCACACGTGGGTCATCGCCCGTGAAGGAGTGATGCTAGTGAGAGCCATGTGCGCCACTGGCCGCCATCCAGTGGGAGCTATGGGCGCCGGGTGCATGCCGGTGGCTCGTGGGAGCAATGGCCACGCTGGTCGCCGCCACGTGGGAGCTATGGGCGTTGGGTGCCGGTGGCTCGTGGGAGCCATGGGCGCGCTGGTCGCCGCCACGTGGGAGCTATGGGTGTCGGGTGCCGGTGGCTGTGGGAGCCATGGGCGCGTTGGTCGCCGCCACGTGGGATATATGGGTGTCGGGTGCCGATTGCTCGTGGGAGCCATGGGCGTGCTGGTCGCCGCCACATGGGAACTATGGGCGTCGGGTGACGGCGGCTTGTGGGAGCCATGGGTGCACTGGTCGCCCCCGAGTGGGTGCTATTGGCGCTAGGCATCGCGACAATGTGGAAGCTACGTGTTGGAGCCTTGGGCCTCGGCTGCTGGGATTGCGGGTGGTGGACAAATCCACAAATAGAGATGGCGGCTCTAGGTGATGTGTGTGAAGCCTCGGCTGCAAACGGGCGCACACCCCCGCGTCAGGCTGGGCCGGCCCATCTAACTTGTCTTCGTTTGTGTCTTAATCCGCAAAAAGAAAGGCGCTGCTACGATTCAAACCAAGTACCGCTCCTGTGAAAGAACGCCAGTGTAACCACGCGGCCGCCGGGAGGGATCTAGTTACCTTTTAATATTTCCATCTATTATTCATTCTCCTCCCATTTTTTTCGTTCTTTTTTTGTCTTTGTCTTGGTCCCATGAATTGGTTCGCAAGTACATGAACGTTTTGTCAAATCGATGAACTTTTTTTAAAATTCATAAACTTTTTTAAAATTTTGATGAACTTTTTTTTAAATTCGATGAACTATTTTTCAAATTTGATGGACTATTTTTGAATTTCGATGAACTTTTTTCAATGTCGATGAACTTTTTTTTAAAATCGATGAACTTTTTTTAAAAATTGATGAACTTTTTTCAAAATCGATGAACATTTTTTGAATTTTGATGAACGTTTTTCAAATCTGTGAACTTTTTCTCCAGATTCGTGAACTATTTTTTCAAACGATGAACCTATTTCAAAATCGATAGAATTTTTTCTCAAAATCGTGAATGTTTTTTCAAAATCGATTAATTTGTTTCGAAACAAATGAACTGTTCTGTAATTTATGAACTTTTTCCCAAATGTTTTGAAAAAAATTAAAAATCAAAGCGCTACAGTAGTGTACTTAAAGTCCTTTTGCCTGCATTTGGTCAGTAGCACAACGAAGCTCAGGTGGTTAGCATTCTTGTTCGTTGTTCTAACGGCGAGAGTTCGATACTTGCTGACACCGAATTTCTTTTTGTTTTTGTGCTTTTTTTCACGCCCCTGTAGATTGTTGCTGGGCCGGCCCAGTCGGACCGGGTTCGGGCGCCGATACGAGAGGTGGTGGGACTGGGCCGGCCCAGCAAAGTTCCATCGGTACAGGGATAGCGCGAAAAAAGCGAACAAAACATAGCGGAAATAGGTTCTCAGCGAAGATCGGACTTGTGCCGTGAGAACAACGAACGAGTATGCCCAACCAACTAATCTAGTTTGCGGCTTTTGAACAATTAAAGGGCGAACATTTTAAGTACATTCCTAGCCGCGTAATTTATTACTGTAGCGCCTTGATTTTTATTTTTTAAAAACATTTTGGAAAATGTTCTTGAATTACAGAAAAATTCATTTGTTTTGGAAAAATAATGATTTCGAAAAAAGTTCACGATTTGATAAAATGTCTATCGATTTTTAAAAAAGGTCATCGGTTTGAAAAACAGTTCAGAAATCTTGAGAAAAAAGTTCTCTGATTTGAAAAAAGTTCATCAAAATTCAAAAAAGGTTCATCGCAATTGAAAGAAAATTCATCAAATCTGAAAAAAGTTCATTGACATTGAAAAAAGATCATGAAAGTTCGAAAAACTTTATCAAATTCAGAAAATAGTTCACCGAATTTGAATAAAAGTTCATCAAAATTCAAAAAAAGTTCGTGGATTTTGAAAATAAGTACAGTGATTTGAAAAATAAGTTCACCGAATTTAAGAAAGTTCATGGAATTTTTAAAAAGTTCATCGAATATGAAAAAAATTCACCGATTTGGAAAAGTTCATCGATTTCGAAAAAAAGTTCATTGAATTGAAAAAAGTTCACTAATTTTGAAAAAAAGTTCATCCATTTTGAAAAAATTTCATCGATTTGAAAGAAACTTCACGAAGTTAAAAAAACGTGCACAATCTTGGGGTAAAAAGTTCACGCACTTAGCAGAAAGGAAGAATGAAAAAAGAAAGAAAAAAATGAACAAAATCCTTTCCATGAAAAAAGAAAACATAATCAATATAGAAGAAAAGGATGAAAAGGCTGTAAGAAAACACTGGTGGAGTGGTTATGGCAGCGCGCATGTACTGGTGAGATCACCAGTTCGAATCTCACCCACGCGTATAGGGTTTTTTGCGTTTTATAAACAGAAACAAAATATTTGTCAAAAAAGAAAAACAGAAACAAAATAAAGAAATGGGCCGGCCCAGTGCAGTGGAAGGGGTGTGCACCCGATTGCCGAAACAACTAAAACGGGCGCTTAAGGCGCCGTTTAGGAATTGCCGTTAGGAGCTCCCGGGAAAGCTTCATG